TAATTTCATATGTTAAATTTTATATTGGTTGTATGAATTAAATTACCTAAGCTTACCCTTGCAATTCCTTGTGTTGTCTACTGGTTATGTACGTCCGTCTTGTCAATGCAATGATCATCCGTGTGGATGTGAGCAGGCGGAGAGGCGCTGCTTGAAGAAACGCTGGAAGAAGAAAATTTGGAGGACGACAGCCTAGTCGAAGTAGAGGTTAAGGCCGAGCCATAGAGCGCTCGAGAAGTTGTAGTTTTTAGTATATATGTGTAGCTTTTTGGAACGTTCGGTTATTTGGCTTTGTAAAACCGTTCGTCCTGAACATTAGTATATTGTAGAATTTTCTGAACTCTGTATCCGTTTACTGTTCGGTTTTTAATAGCTGTATTGCTTAAGACTGCACTGTTAATTCTGTAAATGTGATTAGTTCTAATTTATGGTAATTACTATATATTGGGATGTTACACTGTAGTTTAGTACAATTTAATATAGTTCAATTCAGTCCAATTTAATAAAACAAAAAACAGTTTATTTCAGTTTGTTTGAATTATTTTATAATTCACTTTAAACAAATTAATTTTTAGTTCAATACAAAATTTTAGTAGTGTATAGGTGTATTTCGCCATACTCTTATATATTCTAGATGTACCATAAAACAAAGTGCAAAATTTACGGAATGCACTTGAAATTGAAAGCAGTTAACGAGCACCACTCGTTACTCCTAAATGATAAACGATGGTCCCTTCCCAGATCCAGGGATAGTAAACCTTGCAGTGTGAACTTTCAAACTCGAAGATGGTCAGTTGTAAACCTCAACATTTTCTGCTTGCTTTGAGTTTCTGCTGGTGGACAACTTGTATCCACGTTAGCTCTGAAAAGCACAGTCTGAAACCTGGAGAAAAACTGAACAGCACCACCCTGTTACGTTCTGAAAAAGGTTATTATTTTATTAAGATTGTAACAAGTTACTTGCAGATCTATGGCCCCAAAAATGAGAATTGGACAGTGTGGATTGGTAATAGAAATCAACCTGTTGACACGGGTTCTGCAGTTCTGCTGCTAAACCACTCTGGTGTACTGAAAATAGAATCCAAAGATATTGAACCCATCATCCTTTACTCTTCACCACAACCTTCCGAAAACACTGTGGCCACCTTGTTGGACACGGGCAACTTTGTACTGCAACAACTTCACCCCAATGGAACAAACACAACACTGTGGCAAAGTTTTGATTACCCTACTGATAATTTGCTCCCTGGGATGAAGTTAGGCGTCCATCACAGGAGTGGCCATAAATGGTCACTAGTTTCGTGGTTGACTAATTTGGAACCAAGTCTTGGGGCATTTGAACTTGAATGGGAACCCACTAAAACGGAATTGATCATCAAGCGAAGAGGAAAACTGTGTTGGGCAAGTGGAAATCTGGGAAACGGTAGACTCATGCAAGGCACATCTTACGAGATTGTCTCAAACGAAAACGAAAGCTACTTCTCAATCACAACTTTCAATGGAGAGCTTACAAGATGGGTGCTTTTAGAAACTGGGCAGCTGATAAATCGGAATGGAGCGGATAATAATGTTGCGAGGGCTGATCTGTGCTATGGCTACAACACAGATAAAGGGTGCCAACGATGGGAGGATATACCCTTATGCAGGCATCCTGGTGATGCATTTGACAGCAGGGAAGGGTACCCCAATGCAGACATGGCAAACAATCTAGAAAATTCGAGTTATGGGCTAAGTGATTGTCAGGATATGTGCTGGAGAAACTGCAATTGTGCTGGATTCAAAAACTATTATGATGATGGTGGAACTGGTTGTGTATTCTATCACAAGAACTTCACCACGGGTACTAATTTTGCAAGTGGGGGCTCTAAATTCTTCGTACTTGTAAACAAACCCCATCACAAAGGTATGTTTATCTTACAGAATTTCAAAACTTCCTAGTACTTCCTTTTTAATTTAGTTTATAACTTTCAAAGTAGCACAAAAGTTACTGATATTTAGCTTTATTCCCTTGTGTTTGTGAATGTCGAATGGTTCATATGCAGGTAAAAAAATGTGGATATGGATAACTGTTGTATCAGTAGTAGCTGCTCTGTTAGTAATCTCTGCAATTACTCTTGCCATAAAGAAAAGAAAACGTCGTCTTGAAGGTTGGTTATACATGTGAAATAAACATGGTTCAAGATGCTTTATTGAACTCAATCCCTTGATTTGATCCCAATCTTAATCATTCATATTTCAAACTAAACAGGGAAAAAAAGAAAAGGGGTGGAGACTAAGAATATGGCAGATTTAGCAGCATCAAATAGATTCTATGATGTCAAAGGCTTTGACGATGAATTAAAGATCAGACAAAATCTAAAAGTGTTTCCTTTTACAGTGGTATTGTGGGCAACAGAAGATTTTAATCCTGAAAACAAATTAGGTGAAGGAGGATTTGGACCTGTTTATAAGGTGATATGAAGCCAAGTTTTAATTTACTAAGAACTTTCTCTAATAAAGGTCTAATAATCCTTTTGTTGCCATTAGGGAATCCTTCCTTCTGGGCAAGAAGT